ATACTGATACAATCCCTATTGAAATTCAGTTAAAATATTAAGTTTATCATAAATTAGTTTTCTCTAAATTCAGTTAAAACAAGTACAGTGTTACTTGAAAAGAAGTACAATATTGCTTTAAAACAAGTACAGCATAGATCTAAAACAAGTATAATGTTGCCTTAAAACAAATATAATCTTCTTTTAAAATAAATACATGATTGCTTTAAAACAAGTATTGTGATGCTTTAAAACAAGTACAACATTGCTTTAAAATAAGTACATCATTTATTTAAAACAAGTATAGCATTGATTTATATACAAAAATATAAAGCAGTGTAAACTGTCTTCTCACCAGACTTATTTAAGTACAGTGAGGCAATTCTGAGAATTAGAAGTTCTATCAGGATTCTTTATTGGTGGCCATAATCTTAACAGCATAAGATATACAGATGACACAATGTTGATAGCAGACACAGAAAGGAAATTACAAGAACATCATCAGAAAGAGAATAGTGAGAGAGGATGACGATCCTGATGTGAACAGGTGCCAACAATAATCTTACATAAATAATGGACTTATTTAATACATTAAATGTCTTTTTCATTTTGGACCATGTAAAAATTAGACAAAAAGGCTTGCCCATAGCAATACTATCAGTCTGGGTGTAGTATTACCTAAATGATTATTACATGAACCATGTACCATGCAAAGTGGGAGAGACCAATGATGATACATATTGTTGAAAATAATAGCAATTGTTTCATTAACAGAACCATTAGTAAACAGATTTTCAACATATAATAATGTCAATATTTTATTTTGGGAGCTTACTCAGCATATGTTCCATCTTAACAATCATCCAGGTAATATCTACACCTAGATTGATAGCATTGCTATGGGCACCACTTTAAGTCTATTATTCTCTTTTTTTATGGTTCATCTTGAAACCAAAATATCAATTTTATTCTGAAAACATACACTTGCATAATAAAACCTGACACCTTCCACCACAAATAATTTGTTATTGGTATCTTTAATAAGGTGAAATATGGTAAGCTGAAACTCATCTGACATATTGCCTGTATAAATGTAAGTATAACCTGTAACTGTCATGGACATCAATTTGTCAATACCAATTTTTATTGTGCATTGAATATCTGGTCTGGTGTTTCTGCTGTATATCTCAAGATTCTTGACAAAATTCAAAGAAGGTTCTGTAATGTAATCTATCCAGATCTGGCATCTCTACTTCAGTCACTTTCTCACCAACGTGACTTGCTCTCCCTCTGTTCTTTCTACAAATATTTTCATGGAAACTATTCTTATAAGCTTTATCCCTGGTGCCTCAGCTACAGGAATTTAAGCATGCTACTAGATTTGGCAACTAGGTCTCACTGTTTTACTGTTGAACTAGCTATATACAATCACAATTTCTAGTCTAACAGTTTCTTTTCTAGCAATTCTCTCCTGTGGAACTCCCTTCTGATTTATTGCTTCCCTGCAATCTACCAAAAATTTAAATGCAACATCAATTGCCATCTTCTGTCTTCCTCAACCCTATTTTTTTATTGTCCTTTTCCTCTCTTCTCCTCACTAAAGTCTTCTCATTTTCTTTCACTCCTTGTAACCTCCTGCATCCTAGTGGCATTATTGCCTTGCTTGGGGTGAAATGATAAAAAAATATCACAAGAATAGAATCTTTGGTACAGCTAAAATACAGAATAGCTGGTATGACCCAAATATGGAATATTTGTTTTAGCTCCAACATAATATTTGCTATTAATCAATCATAGAACATTTGTTAAGTTCTATAAATAGAATCTTTAGAATATATTTAGTGTAACCCATACACCTCAATCATAGAATCTTTAGATATTGACCAATAATAGACTCCTTGATTTAAATCAAACATAGAATCTTTAGTCCAACTCAAACACAGAGCCTTTGTACAGCACTGGTATTAAAAAAAATTGATTTGCATAAAAGAAGCTGACATCATAAATGAAACACTCTGATGTGACAAAAGGGTCATGGTAAAAATTTTGTCTTTATTTTGCTAAATCTGTTCTCAGATATAAAAGATTCTTTAATAATTTTAAAATGTTATCAGAATAATAACCTAAAAGATACAATAGCCATAAAAATGAAACAGCTTCTACAAGTGAGATCTACAGATTTGGAAATTTTCTATTGCATAGATTTCTTGTCATGTATTTGATTTTGATTGGAAATATTTCTACAGAATGTAGAGAAAAATAGTTTTATAATAACATTGTAAGTACAATATACAAGAATAGTGGATTATAGCATTGATTCATAAATTTGGTGACACAGTAATTATGAGTTCAATCCCTGGTCTGAGTAGGGTGTACTTAGACTAAGTGGGAACAGGGCGAGTAACAAGTGCTGAGCAGTACTAAAAATAAGAACTAGATAAGATATCCCTTGATATAGGAAGTGGAATGAAATCAGTCTGTCCTTGTAGATTAAATAAAGGATTCAGTTTTGGAATTCCATGTAGGTTATTTGGCTCAACATGTACCTGAGGAAGGCTGATGGGCAGAATGGCTGAAATATTGTGATAAGATGAAGACAAAAGTCCACATAAAAATAGTGTAATGATAACCCTTCATCCCAGAGATCCAGATGAAAACAATACTTTATATCGCAAAAGGGTTTTTGATTGCACAGTTGAAATATTATTTTATTTTTGGAATTGTTGATGATTTATTTTCATCTTTTATAAAATGAATTTAAAGCAAAGTCTGTTTTCAATATTATATTGTTTCAACTGAAATCATAGTGAATAAAGTGGAAATGACCTAATTGTATGTAATCTAAGAACAAAAACAGCAAGTAATTTTGGAAATAGTGTATCTCAGACATTTTCTGAAAATAAAATGAAAACTTCTGCACATTCTTCAAGCAATAAAACCTACAAGTAACTTGGTAATTTATTATGAATAGTGTCCTGTTTTCCTTGCCATGGAATAATAATGAACTTATTTGTAGACCATTACTATTGTGTACTGAATGGTCCACATTTATAGCCTTGTTCCAGACTAAGTTAAACTTAGTAAATGCTTTATCTAGAAAATTGAAGCACCTCTATGTATGCTTACTATACTCAACATTTCAGCTGATCCATTCTTCAAACTTTGTCACGTGTATTCCATGGGATAAAAAAGAAAGTTCTTTCGTCAAGGTATTAAGCAAAAAACAAATAGGGACACTTTTTTATATATTAATGTTCCCCAAATACAAAGCCCAAGAGCCACTCAAGGTAGAAGGTTACTATATGTTGTATGAGCATAAGAAAGGGCAAGAAGTTTATAGGTCTATACAGGAAAGATAACAATTAACCCTGGGCTGGAAAAGGTCAAGAATGAAGAGATTGGGAAAAATTCCTGTCATGAGTCTTTTTATTTTAATTCTTTTTTTTTTTTTAATTGGTATCACCCCAAGCAGTAGAGCCACTAGCACACAAGCAGTTACAGGGTGTGTAGGAATAAGGGACAGAAACATTACTAATGAGGCAAAAAAGGAGTAATCAGGAGGACAGTAGATAGTGATTGACACTGTATTTAAATTTTTGCAGATTAAAGTTGGCTGGGAAATATGGAGCCAGGACGGAGTTCTACAAGCAAGAAGTGCAAGATAAAAAAAAAAAACTGTTAGCATAGAAGTTATGGCTTCATCTAGCTTAAATTAATACAGTCTAGGTACCATAATGAAGAACTCATCCAAACAATTACCATGAAAGTATTTATAGAAAAAGCACAGAGAAACAACCTTATGGAGGTGAGCAAGTGTATGGAACTGAATTGACAGATCAGGAACAATAATATTGCTGATTCTTCTTTGTATCTTATCAAGGAGCTCCAGCAAGGCAACACTTTTTGGAATAAGCTGTCCAAATGGAACTTGCTTCTTAGAGTAATATGAAGAGAATGGGGATGATTCACTCTTGTGGATGTGGCTTGGTGGGTCCCAGTTGTAAAGGTCAAGGGTGGTAAGACTATGGAAGATATATCATCAAATCAAATGCCTTGGAAGTAGTGATAGAGCAGCAAGAGACATGCAACAAATCATTAACTGGCCCACCAGGTAAATCCAAAGTACACTAATTAGTCAGGTGATTCTAAATTATACTCAAGAGTGTTCCAAACACTCACTTTGTTTAGCAATGACAACAACATTGTATCAAAATTTGTACTCATTCTATGTATCCACCTGTCCAAGAATCCAATACATGCTGCCTCCTTTAACTTCCTTACTTCACATTGATGCTCCTTATCGATTATCTGAACCTTATCCCAAAGTCATAATGTGTAACTTTCTTCCTTCAGACATGGTTGACTCATAAGATTTTTCTACTTTAACTTTGCTAATATTTTTCTTATAATTTTCAAAATGGACAGTAAGTGGAGGAATGCTTTTATCCTTAAATATGTTATATACATAGATCCTTAAATATGTTATATACATAGTCTGTTATGATAAATCATTGATAAGAAGAACTCAACAAAGTATGTAAGATGGAATATGTGAAAACCAGTTCAATGTTCCATTTTTAATTCCTTGTTGATGTTTCACTCCCAACTAGCATTATCAAAATGATTGAAAGAAACCTAAGGAGAAATCATTACCATGACTACTTAAAAATGAAGTAGTTAATCTGAAAAATTTTGATAATCAATAGAATTTAAAAATAAATACCCATGAACAAAATCAATAAAATTTGTACATAGTTTTTTTATTGATTCATTTTCAATAGCATATCAACACTTTATTTAAAGCCATAAAATACTTTTAGATTGTAAGAATTTTTTATTGGAGATAATAATGATTTACTGATACAAGTCTTACTAATCAACCCATAGTTGGGGAGAAGTGGTGCATTCATACCTTTCCTAAGGGTATTTACATGTAAGTGATCATAATGAACTCAACTGGAATTGGAATTTGACTCTTTGATTAACAATTCTGAGTCATTATCCATTACACCACCCATAAATTACAGCACCAGATATTCCCAACAGGTCAACCACCTGTGTACTGACCAGACCTAATGTTGCTTAACTTCGGTGATCATAGGGGAACTGTTGTTTGAACATGATATGACCATAAGCCTGATTTTTACATAGGAAATACGTTAAAATAAAATGTAAATATGTTGATTTGGTATAGAAAAATAAAATAAAAGTAAGGTATAGTGAGAAAAATAAATCACATATATACAAAGAAAATAGCAAATACTTTTAATTAAAAAATATAATTCAATTTATAATATATATTATTTATGTTTAAGCTAAATGGAGCTCAACAGCCCAGGAAAGGAGTCCATCTTAACCCTAATTTTAAACAGCTGTTGCCATATGGTCATATCTTAGTATGAAAAAAGCTATGAAACAGACAAAACACCTGGAGTGGAGCTGCGAATGTGGTTGGCTATCAACACTGACAAGTTTCTGACATCTCCTGTAGCCATGCTAGACCCGAATATAATGCCCTGTATTCAATTTGATCTTGTTTGTACAATTGAAAAGTTGGGTTTCAGGTAGGTAGTCAGGCAGTGCATGGGCCCCTATATACCCAGGAGAGGTTTCTCCAGTCTTATCTCCAAAGGACTGAATTTTGACCAAACATGGCACTACCTTTATCTTACAAGATAAATGGATGCCTGCTACTACTTTTATTTAGGTATTATGGAAAATATAAAATTGGATTAATTTTTAAAATGTTTTATCAAAATGTTATTTTCTTTAAGCCTACTTTTTGATTAATCAAATTGAATTGTGATATCATAACTAATTCAATAATTATTCTTTATGCTTTATATTGAATAAATTTAACCATTTTGGCATTTTTAAAATTGAAACAATATTTGTATTTAATATATAGGAGTAGTTTTTCAGTTAAATGTTTCTTTGGTTAATTTTCCGAATATCTTCAAATGATTTTCATCAAATGACCTTATTCTTGACAATGATGAACTTTCACAGATATTCTTTAATGCTTTCCAGGATATAGGCAATCATGGCTCTCCACAGATTCCTTTCTTTATTATCTGTTATTTATTATTGACATATCATTGAGCAGACACTGAATTTTCACCTATTGCAATGAACCGATTTTCCGTCAGGGAGGATCTTTGTCTTAAGGACATATTGGGATTTAAAGTCAACCCAGACCTCAAGTAAAACTTATGAATATGATCCATAGCTAGAGATTTAAAACAAAAAATTTAATCATTTCACCCCAAGTAAGGAATTAAAACCACTAAATGAGAATATGAGAAAAAATACTATAAAGGGAGAGAACAATAAAAGAACAAGAATTAAGAGGGCAGCAGATATTTAAATTTTTGAAGATCAAATTTGACTGGGAAGCAAGAAGCCAGAAGTGAGTTCCACAAATGAGAAGTGCAGTAGAAGAAACTGTTAGCATAGAACTTACATCTAGCCATTTCAACTGTAAAATGATGAGACCTTGCTTCCAATCTAGTACTGCACTTAAATTCATAAAATCTAGGTACCATAGATGAAAGTTCATCAGATTAATTAACATGAAAATGTTTATAGAAAAGGCACAGGGAAGCTACATTATGGTGGTGGGAAAGTGACTGAAAGTGATATGCCATGTGAGGATCAATGACATTGCAGTTGCTAATAAAATGACTAGTTTCTTGTACCACTCCAGTAAGTATCTGACTCCACCTGCTATCCCCTACCTTTACCAGAGCCAGATCAGGCTGAAAATGGAGTGCTGCTGCCATATATAGGCAGGAGCAACCCAGTCTTCACTTTTCAGTCTCAATAGAATCCAAAAGCATCTCTGTGGCCTTGTGGGTGATGAAATATTTTCCACCATACAATCCATTTCCTACAGATGAAACGTTGCAAACCTCTCATTACTCTATCGCTATATTCCATGGAAAGTATTCAGATGAACTACAGTTCCTCTAGTTTTAACATTCACCGCTAAAATCTACCATGTTGTACACATTGTGCAGAACAACTCTCATTCCCTTTTGTGCTGCATTAGTGAGATGTAAGTTTCACTTGAAACAGCTTCCCATCAACTTCTACTTTGTGGAATCAACTGCCAAGATAATGCTTTACCAATCACTACAATCTTAATCTGTTCAAGTCTAGGGTTAACCATTACCTTTCTTACCTATCTGCATAAATTGTGCTTCTTACTAACCCTCTAGCTAGAATGGCTCTTTTGCCTTGTACAGGGTGAACATTATTGTAAAAAAAAATTCCTGGGAAGGATGGTGGAATGGTTTTCCATTGCATTCTCCACTTTACAAATATTACATTAAAAAACTATTCAATATTTTCTTCTTATTTAAACTGTCTGCTGTATTCCACTACAAAGCCAGAAATTTGAGTCTGTACCAATTGTTAATATTTTCTAAATTATAGAAATGAGCACGTATTCAGGTAAGTGTTCTTGTTTGTAATTTATTTTAAAAGAAAAAAATGTTTGTATTTGTCTATCAGTAATACTAATTTCTTAATTTCAGTTTCTTTTTCCTAGGATTAGTAATTAAATATAGATGACATAAGTATACTGTTGATAATGTTTGAAAATGAGAACAAAATGTGGCAAATCAATAACAAACCTTCCAAAATATTTCATGACAATTAAAAGAAAATAGAAAATTAAACAGATTAGAAAATGCATTCACATTATTATCAATATTTGCATATGTTCACTTATTTTTACCGATGATGTTTCTTCTCTTTGTATATTTCAACTTTGTGTCTCTTTATGATTTTCTAGAAGTAAATCTTTTTTGTTTTTTCAGCAGACAGCCAGGAAAATTTTTTTTAGTCTTTTTGTTTAACTTGCCATATAGAAATTCACTTCTTTTCATTATAGTCAAAATGTGTAAATAATTGATAGAGTTTCTAGCAGAAGAAAAAATAAAATTATTCCAAAGTTAAAGATTTGTTGCTGTAGGTGCAAGTTGAAATCACATCGCGGATGCCAAACTGTTGCAGCATTTGTTTGACTAAAAGTAGTGGCAACAATATTTTCCACATGTAAATGATGGGTGTAAAAAAATGGAAGACAATTTCAACCAGACAATATTTTATATATTTGGTTTTTATAAAACTGAGTAAAAAGAGAGAAAAATACACAAGTGTGCATGAAAAAGAAAGAAAACATTATGAGTTAGGAATTTTGTGAGTGATACACATTGTGTGTGTGTGTGTGGAGAGTTCAGTCACTTAGAGAAAAGATATCCTCATGGCTGGGAAGGTCCCTGTTGGCATTGCTACTCGAATATGAAAAGAGAGAAAGAGAAAATGAAAAGGAGGAAAAGAGAGAAAGAGAAAATGAAAAGGAGGAAAAGAGAGAAAGAGATCAAAAACAGAAAGTATCCCATTTTTATAGATGCTTAACAGCAGCCTCTAATGACTTCATGTCGCAACTGGCAAAGCTATGTGGGGATAACCCTCAGGTTTTATTAACCTCTGTAGCAAATATATGATGGAGCTACACTTCTTAGATAATGAAAATAATAAGTGCCGAAGTTTGTATTAAGAAATCAGACACCAGGTGACAAAGTGCATCATGAAGGATTTAACTGCAAAGAGAGTTACACCACATTCCCCAGAGAGAGAAGAATTATTTTTCTTCTGTCGGCTTTCTTAAACAAATCTATGGCTGAATTTTGTTCGTTGTTTTTGGGTTGAATAAGTTTTTTACATTATTTTATTTTTTAATGTATTTTTATGCACTGATATGAAATCAAATTATAAAATCTTCAATATGTGTTTCCATTCCCTCAATGTTAAACCTACAGGATTACAGAAAATAATCGCATATACAGAGAAAATATGTGCACAGGTTCCAAAGTAAGGGTCTATCAACCATAAACAGACTCCAGATTAATTTACTGTATGTCCTCTTTATGGGGTTAACATATATCCATTCTTTCACATGCAGATGGTGAACACCATCATGGCATTCATCAGTATTCCCTGCTTTTTGAACCTATTGACAGCACACAAGCAATTCTGGTGATTGTGCCAGTCAAAGAAAATAGTATGGGCATAATGTGGGTGGGCATTATTCTGCTGGAAGAGTATATCACTTTCCTATTGCAGGAATAATAATGATAGTACAATAGATAAAGAGGTTAAGATTATAGTTTCAAGGAACCACCCATGCGGGAATCTGTTTCACAAAATGGCAGTTTTTTTTTTGTTTTTTTTGCTTTTTTTTTTTGGCTATAGTGAAACATCCTTCTTAAATGTAGAACACAGAAGAAATGAAGGTGATTTGACTCTGTGGAAGTTGCTTGGTGTGTCTAAGTTAGAAGTTATCTGGACTTGTGGAAGTAAAGAATCAATGTTTGTGATGAAAACAGAGGTAGAGTCGAGATTGGCTTATAATGTAGTCTTTGTGGGAAAGAGTAGAGAATAAGTCTTCTCTAACAGGAGTGTGTAAACAATTTTAAACTCTGTCGAGTCTGGAAAATGAGAATTGAGCAGCTTCAGCCCAGATATGGCAGTGATATTCCATTTTTGGTCTAATCTGACTCTTGTAAAGATAAGTCATGACAGGAGTCAAATGTCACTCCACACAAGAACATCGCTTGAATGAACGCAGAACCTGTTCTCCTCCCTGAACATTGCAGATTGTCATTTGATCTCCCTGGTGACACTTTCACAACATCACAGCAGATGTGAATATTGCTCATAATTTTACATTCTTGGAATTTGTTTTTTTTAATCATTTCACTCCAAGCCACTAGAATGCAAGAGATGTTAGAATGAGAAAAAAAAAAAAACTACTATTAAGAAGAGAGGAGAATAAAAGAAAAAGAATTAAATGGAAGATAACAATTGACATTGCATTTAAATTTTTGAAGATCAAAATTGACTGGGAAGCAAGAAGCTGGAAGAGAGTTTCACAAACAAGAAGTGCAGTAGAAGAAACTGTTAGCATAGAACTTACATTTAGCCATTTTAACTGGAAATTGATGTAACCTTGCTGCCAATCTAGTACTAGACTCATAAAATCTAGGTACCATAGGAGGAAAGTTCAGCAGAACATTTAGCATGAATGTATTTAAAGAAAAGACATAGGGAAGCTACGTGGTGGG